ACGACACCGCTTTCGAGCACACACTCGTTCCTTATGGCACTCAATTTAGCGCGCGAGGCGACGGCGCGAGGAAACGGCACGCGGGAGTCATGAGAAATAAACGTGCCGCGTATGAGCTTTAGAAGCATTTATCGGCAACGTGTGGGAGAGATTTGAAAAGTTTCTAAATTGATTACTTCGGGAATAATGGCGAATTTAAGCGCACGATGAGCGAATCAATATCCGGATAAACTGAAACGCTTGTCCCAATATCCGGTCATGATTATTTAATGAAATTATTCGGTGTACATTTATGCGTGACGATTTCCGTGGCGACGATTACGATAATTTGCCTACAAACTTCAAGTGTTCGGTATAAAAATAATAAAAGAAATAAATAATTAAAAAATAATTAAAGAAATAAATAATTAAAAAATATGAACAAGAGGAATTAGTAACGTTTGCGATTAATAATTATGAATTGGTTCCTGCAAAATGAATCAGAATTCAATGTTCTCTTAGAACCGTCAGCGCGTTATTTTTGCATTTGAGTTGCAAATGACAAAAAAGTAATCAGGAAATATCGGAAATATCGATGTCAATCTCCAGCGTTGATTTATATCCTCGATTCGGCCTCGTTCCTCCATTCGCGTTTAGCTCGATTGGCCATCGCGCTGTTTGTTTATATCAGACTTTTCCTTTCAATCAATATATCCGCGTCGACGTAACGTTTCTATTCTATTCGGAAATAATTGAATATAAAGCCGTAGCGCGCGTATTAACTCACGGGAGAATACGCGTAGAATACATGCATTCTATACACCTCCATCCGTTAGAATCCAAAGCCAATGGAATAATTTGTATATCACCCTCCCTGCGAACTTTTTCTCTGATCGATCGAATCGATGCGAAGTTCTCCACGTTAAAATATTCAATCCGGATGCCGATGTTTCAAAAATTTTCAATGGAAGGGCAAAGACTGTGATGCATTATAAGCCATTGAGTCGGAATTCTGCGGATTTCGCGATTTCTGCTTGCCTGTGTATATAAAAAAAGAAAAAAAAAAAGAAACCGGAGGAAAAGAGAAGATTCCATCTCCATGAAACATGAAATAATATTTTTTTCCGATTTTAACACCGGAGGCCACATCGAAAAATAATTCTCGCGTATTGTAGTGAGAAAATCGAACGGTCAAATGATAGGGAATAAATAACGACAGTGCAATAAAAAACGACAGAGTGAAGAACAATCGACGACCGTCGAGATTGATGCGCGATGTGTGCAGACGTTCGTCTAGTCGAAAGTCGCATCGAACTTTATGCCGGCAGCCGGCAGCAACAGTTAGGCTTCTCAAAGGAGAAAACGGCTCGCGCACGTGTGAAATACAGTCCGTTGGCCCGGCGGTTTATTCGTCAATTAGTTGTGCATCCCGTACATAACCCTGACCAGCTGCTATTATCCGCTCCGAGATTCCAATAATCCCCAGTTCCAGCGTCTGCGCGTGCTTCCTTTGCGTGCCTGGCTTTGGCTTCCTGTACTAATTAATTATCTCGTACCGCCCGGAATTCTCCGTGCGATTACACAGTGCCGCGACGAGGAGCGGCGGGGGGTGTAATATCGTCTGACGTCTGAGCTATTCTTTTGTCTAATCGGAGCTAACAAGAGACTCGTTAAACTCGCAGTTAGCCGCGGGATATCGCCGAGGGAAATTTTCCGCCGCGAAACTTCAGCGCGAAACAACGTCCGTGTTTTAAAGCCGAGGCCGCGCATGTTTGCGATTGTTGCTGTATATTCGCGGGATTCCGCTGCACATAAAAGTACTTCGAGAAGAGCAAAGTGCCGGATGTGCAAAGTGTCCCTCGTGAATTACGATCGTGTAGTTTTGACTTTCTCGACACGAGCGTCAGCTGCTCAAAGCGCTCGCTTTTCTTTATCTTGCTATCAACTGAGTGATTTGTATCTCGAAATCATTTCTCGTTTTCTTGTTAATAGCGATTTTTATACATGTCAATGTATGTAATTACTTTGTCAAGAGACTTTTTTTCAGACATCGCCGTTGGACAACCTTACGTATTCCTGCCGTACCGAAATTATAAGCTTGCGTAGAAATGAGGGGTGACTCGCGTCACCAGGCGAAGTTGAAAGCGAAGATTCGGTAATCTACATTTTCCCCATTTTATATTCGACTGGCAACGAGGAGTCCCTTTTATCACGGTTAAAGAACTGATGTATATCCTAAGAGCAATACGAGAACGATACTAGCGGAGGGTGCGTGTATTCTGACATTGAGATTTTTTGTGATAAAGGCTGAGCCTGTCCCCATGAAAGCCCTTGATATCTCGTGAAATGGGTTCGAATCGATCTATGAGATTTCCTATCCCCTCTTTTAACCTCGCGTTCGCGCAATTCCGAAAAAGCCGGTCGGGATTTACGGTCTCGCGCGTGACCGATAAAAAGGTGATAAAAAGCGATCTTCGATCGGCGACTCCTTTTACTGATAACGTCTGAATGTCCGGATGTTTTTATGTATCTGTTTTGAGCATCAATGGAAGATTTGTATCATTATCGCACAACCTCGTAGAATATTAAGTGTACATCATGAAATCTGAAGTATCAGAAGTAAAAAAAATGTCCTTGAATGTTTTACCATTACAATTCGTTCGGCGAAAAGGTGCGTGGAATCTAACTTTGAAAAACCCAGGAAGTGTAAGTTTCTAGGCAAAAATAAATTAACTTCAAGCTAAAAGTTAAAACAATACCGCCGTAGAAAATACCTTTAACGTTTTGGTTCTTTTTCAGTCAATTGTATAATGTAAAACGATTTTCTCTACACATCTTAATGAAATTAAGGTTCTGTAATCTGAAAATTATACTTACTTGTGCATTATTACATAAGTTTTTATTCGTAATTAACATCTGCAATCTTGGCTCTTGTAATTGTTGTATATTTTTGTATTTAAACTTGACAAGTGCTCAATTAGCTAGAAAAATCATAAAAACGGACAAATAAACGCTGGCGATAAAAAAGCAATACGCGGAGTGAACTTATAAAAAATATCCCGTATTGTTATGAGTTTTAATGAAAATGTTTCGAATGATCTCGACTGAAGGCTTTAAATGGACTTCCACCGACAAAGAAGTTTAACGTCAAAAGAGTTTAAATATTGTTACATATTGCTAATAATATTGCACTACTTTATCAGATAAGCCAATACATTGTGATCGTATGATTGTTTACTTAGTACCTCAGTCACCCAATTCTTTTTGCATAAATATTTTAAACCAAAAAATAAAATAAAACTAGGTTGCAGCAGGTTAGATTAGGTTAGAACAAATATTTTGTTATCACATGAACACCTAATCACTGTGCATAGATAAATCTGGAAAAGCAGTGTAATACTAATAGCGATACATAAAATTATTTGAATACTTTTGCCATTGAATTTATAGCAATTAGGCGTGGGGATAATTTTCGAACGTATTCCCGACGCGTCGCCGTGGAATCGTACGTGTCTCGAAGATTGCTCCCTCGTTCCATGTTCCTACGTTAATTCGCTCGCGAGTTACGGCTCTTTAAAGTTTCAACACGTTCGGTATTACGAACGCGAGCGCGCTCACCGTAAACTCACCGTGAGCTGGGTAAACGACCTCGTGGTAGAGCAGCCACGTGGTCGAGCGGCCAGCTGACATAACGGCAGTGGGACAAGGATGGCAAGGCCGCGTTTCAGCCGCCTTATGTAACTGGGCAAGTGCCACTCACAACAGAGTCGAAGCGACGTTGTGATCGTTGTCCCGTAGCGACTTGAAATAAAATCCATCGCAACACCCAAAAAAAAGGTATTCTATTTGTAAAGTGATTTTTCCCATAGTCTCATATTCTAAGCGAAACCTTTTGCAGAAAATAGATTCCTCTTTCGACAAAGCGATTAAAGTAAACCATTCATCTAAAATTTATTGGATATTATTCCAACTATTTTCCTCTTATTTCAGGAGGATTTCCTCTTGTATCAATTAATTTTCTTCTTATATGAAAAATACAGTTTATAATCTATTACAAGAAGTTGAATAATATATTCTTTCTTTAACTAGGTTTCATGCAATTGGTTATGATGAACATCTTTGTAGCTATGAAGTCCATAATAAAACTTTTTAGAAATTTATTTGTTAATTTTATTTTATTCGTGCCTACTTATTGTAGAACTGGAGCCGAAATACATCTATATATAATATATATATATATATATATTACTTTTCGCTATACATTATCATAATTTTTACAAATTAACTAATATAACCAGTAAGAATAAATAATAACCCTTTTAAAAAGAAAATTAAATAATCTGTGTATAAGAGGAAATTTCTATTAAAATCAATAAGATTTGCATTATACATACAACATTTAATCCCTCTAACTTTAAGAGTAATGTGTTTATATTTTCCTCTTAATATCGGAGGAATCCTCTTGAGGCCATATATAAGAATAAAATCCTCTAAAATTCAGATGATTCCGCTTGTTCTGAAATTACTTTTTCTTGGGTGAAGGCAACGTCTCCCGTGCGCTTTCGACAGACGCGTGGACTCGTTCTTCGAGAGATAAGGATTGATTGGGCAAAATTAGATGATTGCGAGGGGAAATATCGATCATCCACACAGACGGAGGAATAAATTGGCTTGCGATGGTAAGTACGGGAGCTTATACATCGTCCTGAAGCGTTGGTTTTCTGTTCTTAATGGATACAGCGGATGAGAATAGAAAGAAATCATAATGAGCTCTTTCGGTCGCTTCGATGCCATTAGAAAATTACTCGTCCTCCTCCCAGACATTTTACTGAAAGACGATACTGAACAATCGCACGTGTGGATTTCTTACACATCTCAAAAACGATTGGTTTACGGTATTGCTTTTCGCGAGCTCCACGTATCGGTTGGGCTTTCATTCCGAGAAAAAGCCTCTATAAATTCTCTACGATTGGCGAGACGACTACATAATCGAACGACAATACTGATGAAGCAACACTCACCGTTAGGACTGGGTGTGAGCTCCTTCATCGCTATTTTCACATGTAGATCGTAACGCTGGAAGAGTCCCAGCCGCGGACCTCTCGTGCTTCTCTGGAGCGCGTTGATGGCGGTGGTGACCGCCCTGGTGTATTCTCTCACACCGAAGGACTTGTACGGCACCATCATGCCCACCTGTTACACGAGTCACACGGGAAAGATGAAATTTTCGTAAGGTGCGTGCTATTACGTTTTCTCTGTCTCGCTCTCGCTCATACTCGCGCGTCCCCACGTCCGGTTCTGACCGGCGGTAAACGAGAGAGCCTCTGTCGCCGCGGGCTTGCTGATAAATCGCACCCCCTCTGCCAAAGCAGCGGGGGTTGCGAGATCGTCAACAGGTTGTACGAAACGATATCTCGCGGAGTTTCGGCCGAGACGTAGTTGACGTTCGCCGCCGCCGTTTACAAATGGCTCGAGTTCAGAAGCAAATACTATAAACATGAGCGTCCGCTTGCGCCGACGTGCGCCATCGTCTGTCGGGGAAAGCGTGCGTCCGTTGTGCGTCATACTGTTTTATCATTATCGTCATCGGAACGATTGTTCGCGCGGAAACACGTTGTACTAGACGATCGTGCATGCGGCGGCGCAATCTCCTGATGTTTCGTCTCCATCTGGTGGTTATTGATTTATACAGTTTGCGACTTTCTCTCGGTTACTCCGTGCGATTTTGTGTATATGCGAGTTGCGAATACAAGCGCACTTTGGCGAATAAGATGGAAAACTGAACTTTGCGCGCGCAAACATACACGGAATGATTTAGGCTTTCGCGAAATTCATCCTCGAAAGGATCAATTGCAGAGTTCTCAGTTATTAATACTGGAACTGCCAAGGCGATCACAGCAATTGGTTTGTGGTTTTTTATAAAAATTACTCATATTTGTAACAGTACGTTTTATATTTTCATTCATTTAAGTTAAGCGGGATTAAAAAGAAAGTAATATAGATTTTTTCGTTTGATCCATGTATTCTTTTCCTTTCCAAAAATCCATCGCTTTGATCGCTCTGATAAAAATGGGTGACGTCGTATTACGAAATATTAAAACTTATGAGAGCGTAGCGTAATAACTAACGACGTGTACACCATCAAACGTGACACTCGCACACGAAAACAAGAGCGAACGCGTGTTGGGAGCGCTTTTAACGGGTCCGGGGTACTATTGACCATATAATCGGTTGATTGAACTGGGTGATCGATCTTCGTTTCTTTGTTCGGTGTTTTCAATATCGCGATTTTCATGACACGCTTTTATGTGATCATAATAACTGCGGCGCACCGCTACAATGGGGCCGCGATTACGGTTTTTCGCGACTGCTGCCTCTCTGTACTACCGATCGGCAGACAATGTAATTAAGCAATGTTAGGAGCGATCAGAAAACTGCAGCGAGGGCATCTCGTTCACTTTATTACCGCAAGAATGGACCAGCGCGCACCTGTTGCATAAATCGATCGGTGCGAATGAATAGCACGCGTAGACTGCGAACGGACAGCGGCTTACATTTCGGCCTACCAGCGGTGGGGTAGAGTTCTCTGTCGGCGATATCAGCGCGATTCTACTGTTTAAGAAGCTTAAAACTTTCACCGATATTCCGAATGACCAGAACTTCCGTGTGTTACCTCTGTGCAATTACCAGATATACACAAATTGCCGTAGGATCTCGCTTTGATCGGCGCCGAATTCGCGCCGAAAGAGGAAAATCACACGTTAATTCTTTAACCGTCAATATGCAAATATACTATCAAGTAAATTGATATTGTATTTCTGGCCAAGAGGCACGTCATTATTCTGTTCTGGTTCTAGTTTCTTAAATAATAATCTCTTAAAATAATATCAATAAATTGCTAAAAATGGTAATTGGTAATGGTAATTAATAAAAATTGTTAATCGTTAATATACTAACAGAAATCTACGTACAAATATAAAAACCTGTGTACAATGTATAGAAATTTGCGCGAATCTGCTGAGTCTGAGGAATTTATATGAATCTCTTTGCGATCTCTTATTCCGCGCACTTAGTTTTTCCAAGCGGCTACGTTTGACGATCCTTTCGTGATCGGAATCTACTTTGTTATGCAGTAAGATCAATTCCGCCTTCCGTGCACTTACTTCGATACTCGAACGCATCTGGGAGGCCGCAGCTACTAGGGAAAATCAATGATGCCGTTGCTAGTTCGTGCTCTCACATCACTTAAATCACCACTTAAGTCCAGATAAGTGGCGTAAACCCGACTATTTACGGTGAATCGCGCCATCAGAATCGATCGTCGTGCATCTACCAGCTGTAATTATGTACTTATGTAATTATGTACCGACGCGCAAACAGCACAAGGCGATTATTAATACATTCACCGGGCGGACGGAAGATTTATAAATTGAGCTGTCGCGCAATCGGCGGCAGAGAGACCGCGGAAAAATTCATGAATTCGTCGGGAAGACGAGGGAGGGGGTCGCGGAGAATTTCCTCTCTCGTGCGGGTCTTGGGCACAAAAGGTAACGACGTAATCACTCCCGGCTAATGCGAGCGAATTCATTAACATCCATTAAAGGCGGTTATTCCCGCGCTCTCGAATACTCCCGAGACGATAAGCCGAAGAAGTTTTCGTCAAATCCGTTTAGACGAGGCTACGCCCGTGACGGGGAATGATTCGCGCGTGCAAGCAGAAAGAGCTAATTAATGCGAATTAAACGAGCGGCTCGCGAAATAATTCATCTGAGGGGTCATCTAACTAAAACCGATTCCGCTAAGGCGGAACAGAAGAGAGGACTCCGTGGTGAAATTCGCGGAGCAAGGATCGCGTGACAAGCCCATTGTTTACGGAATTGTGAGGTCGCGGAGAGAGCAAAGAAGTGGATGAAGGGGAGAGAGGAAGTTGGCGAGAAGAATAATTAAGTGCAGTAAAACACTCTCTGTGTGTTCTTGAAAGAAAAGCCCGGCGGAAACTTTGAGGACAAATCAACAAGCGTACATCTCGAGGTAATTAACGAAAGAATTTTTATTCCGCATTTTGTCCGCCATCGGCTTTCTTCGCGAGCAATCTTCTTATCTCAGTCGTCGATCGAATTCGAACGAATTATTTATTCCTCGAGCGAGAAGGACGACCTGCCACTGTCTATTCGCGACTTTCCGATCGCGAATATACCTACGAGTATTATACCTTCACCGAATCTGTCGGAGTGAAAATACATCCGACGTGACAGCGAAAATACCGCCACTCTCGGAATCGCAGCAGTGAATGTTTAATTCAAACTCAGAGTGGATTATTAATTCATACGAGTGAATGTTTCAATCTGTTTGAGCGAGTCCGTTCCAACAGAGTCCGACAGAGAAAAGATCAAATTCATTCTTTACGTCGAATGCAAATATTTACTCGACGATCACGAGTGAGGAGTTCACTCTTCATGAATGAAAGATCGCTCAAAGTCGACTGACAAAGTCGGCTGTCGGCTGTCGACATTTCGAGTCGAAAAATTCAGTCGAAAAAAATTTAGAGCGCTACTTATCGCTTATTATCTAAATTAATATACTCGTGAAATGTAACACTCACTCGCCGATTTATTAGAGCGCGAAACTCACCGTATACGAATGAAATCGACCACTCGACTCCGAGTGAGTCGGCTCTCAGTTCTACATCGCGAGCGAAACTTTAGCCGGAAAAACGAAACGAAAAGCGAATTATCATTTATCGCTCCCCATTCAAACGAATCTCCTAATGAGAAACACAAGCCCCGAGCGGCAAGAGTGGCCACTCACCTTGAGACCGGTGATGTTGTAATTGTTCCCCACAGAAGACTGCGGCGCGTAAGTGAAGCGCTCCGGCGGCGCGACCGTGCTGGTCGTGGTGGTCGTGGTAGTCGGTAATGGCCGCTGCCTCGTGGAATTCGAGAACCTGCTCCCGCCGATGCGAACCCCCGAGTTGCCCCTGCCCACGCTCAAGCCCTTGGAGATCGTGCCCCTGTCGCTGGAGCCGATCTTGATGGCGCTGCCGCCTCTGGTCACGTTGCTGCCCGACAGGTTGAGGGCCAGCAACGGCGACAGCAGCATCCAGAAGACGCACGCGATCCTCATGGCGCGCGATTCGCGTTCGGTCGTTCCGCGACGTTCTCCTGCTTTCTTCTCTATCGCGACACGGCGCGGGCGGTCCGTCCTCGACGAGCGACTCGAGTTTGCCACCGTCCCGTTGTTGTCGTCGTCGTCGTCGTCGTCGACGTCGGCGTCGCGCTATCCCGACACCTCGGACACCCCCGCTCCCATTTAAGGCCCCGACGAGCTCCTCAGCGTCGCGACGGCGCGACGCAGCCGCGTGCACGCGCGTCTCCACCGACGCGACATCGCCGTCCCATCGCGCACCGCTGCGCACCGGCCGCGCACCTGCAACAGAGATTTATGTTCGTTGATTATGTCGAGCGGATAATACGCCGGGGATGTGTTCGGGACGCGAGCGACTCTCTCCTGTTCCACTCCGCCGACGAGGAGCCTCCAATTGTACCGAGCCACTTCGGTAAGCCGGAACAGACGCGATTAAACGCGCAATTTGCGGCGAGTCTCGACGAGTCCAAGGTATCCCGCGAGAAGTCGCTGATACTTCTTGCTCGAGAAGAAGCGTTCTAATTAAGGGGCTCCTTCAGTCGGAGCTGTTGTCCTAATTTAACGTCTCGTCGGGGCAAATACGAGAAGGATTCATTTAAGGGCCCTCGGAGGGGAGGGGAAAGGGTCGCTTAATTGCCGAGCTCGCTCGCCAAGCCGTTTTCTTGTTATTATCCCGACCGAGAGTTCGCAGTTCACCAAGTGCGGGGACGCGTCTCTCCTCGGGACTGCGATGCGCGGCAACTTTCACGAGCGACGATGTGAAAAGACCCCGCTGCCGCTCGAAGAATTTTCGCATTGCGAAGCGACGAAGCGACGTCTGCGCCCGCCCGCGTGCGATTTCCCGGCGGACTAGCTGGACGGGATCGATCGGTCATCGGCCGCCTGTCATTGCGCGCGGATGTAAAATGCCGTCGCCGTCTGACAGATTGAGTCTATCGCGCATCGAACCGATTGCTCGATGGCGTAAATCTGTAAAATCTAATCGGATAAATTCTATACCCGCGCGACCCTTCGTTGCTCGCCCTGCTCGCGGATAATTCGATGGATCCGCGGCTTTGATCGGATATCTCGCGTAATTACGAATTCAATTAATCGAGGCTCCGCTCGATGCGCGGAGAAATCGTTCGAAACTGATATTCCGTCTCGTCTTTCTCGCGATTTCTTTTATTTCGTTTTTACGGAGAATTAAAGGGAGGGGTGGAGGAGAGAGAGAGAGAGAGAGAGAGAGATCCGTTGGTGGCAATTTTTTCGGGCTTCTTCGCAAATACTTCGGTTTTCTAAAGAGCGAGCTTCCAAAGCCTCGTAACGAACGAAACTTTTGGTCGCACGGTAAGTTCTGCGACGAATAGTCGGCGATTCTCCTTCGACCAGAGTGGATAGAGAAAAAGTCTAACGACGGGAGAGGAGAAACTTTTAAGCTTTGACCGTATCAAGGAGGATCGAACGTATGGTCAACGGCGAAAATACCATGCGTCACTTTGTTCGCGCAAAGTCACATTGTAATCGGTGTACCGCTTCGGTTAGCGGCTGCGCCACGGAAAATATCCATTCTCATGTCTCCGTGGACCTCGCGCGGCAGCTTTTAAACAGAGCACACACACACACACACACACATACACAGTTTAATTTTTAATGGAGATAAAAGTTCCATAATTAACGTGGCTTCGGGACGTATCGCCGGCGTAAGAAACAAAAGAAGGACGAAGTTTTTTAATTTTCAGCTTCGTAAATTTTGTAAAAGCAGCCGGGTTTTTCATGAAACTCTCCGGGATATCTCGAGCTTCTGCCTGCACATCCCGATCGTTATTCCAGTGTGGCTCTGTCCTTCTTCACCAACTTTTCCCCGTCCCATGGCTCGTATTCTGCGATGCACAAGAGCTCGCCGGCAGGTCCCATCACAACACAGAACGCAGTTATTGCCTAGCCTCCTCACGTTGTGGTCGGACTTGTAGGTCTCGGCAAACTTCGGTCATCAAACTTCCAGCGGCAGACACATGAGCGAGATCGCATCATTCTCACTGCTACCAGCGAGCCTCTCGACCGTCGAAATGGCGTGATTTTTAACCGGTCGTACGGATTTTCCACGAAAATTACGGAAAATGCGCGAAACGACACGCATCGATCGTCGATTTGCCAGCTTCGTCCGGCGGCCTTATGAATTTCGCGGAACTTCGTTATCGTCGATGAAGCGAGCTTTCATTAACCGAGCGTGCGAGCTCGTGCATAAAATAAATGATGCAGTGCCGATGCAGAAAAAATTATATACTGCCAATATTTCCGGCGTTATTTATCGGTTGCTCCCTTTCGCAACGGCACTGATGTTTGTTTCGACTCTGACGGCTATTTCATTATTGCAATGTCCGTGAAGGACGTACGTACATGAGAATAAGAGACAGAGAGAATGAAAGAGGGAGAAGGAAAGAAAATGAATGACACGGTTGATTCCGGCTATAATTTATATTTCGAGCGCGGACGTTATGAGACACAATGGACGCTTTTTAAATGTCTGGTTACCTTTCACGCGCTGCCATTAATCATTGACACGGTAATAGGGCGATTTACATGGAAATTATAATAATAAAAGCATAACGCGTATTAACGTCAGATACGAACTCGATTCGTAATTTACGGCCGATACGTTTTATATGCGTTTTATATGCGAATAATTTTAATCCCCGGCATTATACATTCAAATGCAAGGCGCACCCGGCTAGCCGGGTGCAAATTTAATCGCGGTATATGTTCCATTGAAACATTCCTACATTACGATTTTTAGTCGTAAATTATGTCGAACATGATTCACACGCGAGCGAAAAAGCGTTTCCTCTCCTCTACTTTTCTCCCGCTTGCCGTGTGATCTCGTGTAATTACACGAAAGTACGTAGGATGCATTTAATGTTTCATTCAAAGTATCCGGATAGTTATAAAATATGTTCCTTTGAATAAAATCTGATATAATAATAATGATACCTTGTCCGATTTTATCTCATTAACTTGGTCATATTCGACGGAAAGGAATTATTTTTATACCGCTATTATATCTGTTAAATCACTTGCCTTGTCGATAATCACGATATTTCGCTGATACTCAGGTAGCAAAGAACATTACCGATATCATTAAAGTCGATCTCAACTTCTTGGCTGACCTAATAGATCGCAATAAGAGATTCCTTCACCTTAGTTCAGACCATCAATACCCGTGACTGGTATCTTAGATCGCGCGAATTTTCATTAGTGTAAATCAATTTTATTTCTTTCTTTTCTTTTTAATAAGACGTCCGCTTTTTACGTTGTAATTTGATGACGTGCATTAATGAAAATCAGCAAGATCAGCAGCATTCTATACAAACCGGAGATAAAAGGACCGTTATAAACAACCCGAAGATAAAAGGATTCGGTTGCTCTTATCCAGGTAATGAGTTGACTACTCGAGAGTGAGGAAGAGAGAGAGAGAGAGAGAGAGAGGGAGAGAGAACAGAACAACGTGGACAACGTAACGACAGTCGCGATATCTCGCGACATAAATTCTTCCGAAACTTTTTACGAGATACGTACGGCCCGTCAGACCTGTCTGAGTTTATTGCCAAAGTTCACCTCGCTCGTCCTCTCTCTCTCTCTCTCTCTCTCTCTCTCTCTCTCTCTTTCTCCTTTCTCTTTCGATTTCCTTCGGAAGACGATTCAACGGAATCAAACATTTGCTCACTGTCTCAAGTCGCGGATGCAAGAACGTCTAATGATCGTTCCCCGTGCACTCGAACTTCTTTATTTTAGAATACGCGCCATTTAACTTTAAAACGTCAAGAACCTACGTTCTTACCCGTACGATGAAATCTGCGAGGATAACTAGGGAAAAGAGATGGGACCGCGCAGAAAAAGAAAGAGCGCGAGGAAGAGGGAAATCTCGAAAATATTCAATAATACCTTTGTTTTCCACGGTTGGATTTTCTTCAACTGAGAAAACTGTTTCGAGTTATAGTTTCATGAGTCGCGCACACTTTTTCGGACGTTCTTCTTTTAATTTTCTCAAATATACGCCGCAGATGTATCCTTGTGAACAACAGGAAGTAATGAAAAATATTGTGAGTGTTGAAGAATTTAAAGAGTATATGTATCTCTGAATTCTTCAAGAGCATATCCTATACATTCTCGCCATATGCAATTTTTGTCGCGCACTTCATGATGATACTTTAAGAGACTGTTTAAGAAACTGTCAAGAAAATATTCCTTCTTCAAGGTAACCTTTAGGCATCGCCCAAAAGAGTAATCGCTTTTCTTGACCGCATTTATCCACCATCCATGCGCATCTGTGGATGCGACACTCGACACAGGATGGGAAAAATCGTTGCATCGATAATTCTCAACAAGACAGACGCGCTTTCGTTTGCGCGAAATCGTACATTGTAAATATTTACGAGCCGTATAGTGATGTTCGGCGAACCGACGGGCGATTAGATTGGTCCGCAGGCGGTATTGGCACAAGTATATGTATCGACGACACGGTTGACTTTCTGCCGCCATATATTGCTTTGACCTGCGTTTATCATTCCCCGCGTATCAAGTTTTGCGATATTGGACCACATCCCATATGGATGGCCTTTGGTAATCCGACCACCGTCTATCGCGGATTCCTGCGGCTCGACTCTCTAACCCTGTCTCTATAAACCCTTGTAGCCTCTATTAAGGCGGCAAACTAACCGCCATGTAAGGGGAATTTCTGCGCCACCACTATCCATTGATCTATTTGCAATAATTACACATCCAATTAACGAGCGGCTCGCCGCGCCTCGGCTAGACTCGCTTAGGCTCGATCGCACCGGCTAGGCTGCCGAATATCCTCGCCCCTGTTATACCCTGGATCGTTTTCGTAGTTAATTTTAACCGGTTACAGGACACACAGTGTCGCGTGGCGGGTAATTTCGACACGGAAAAGTTAACGAGTAGTGGAAATATTTCGCTGGAAATTTTCGGGAGAAAAGTCCACGCGAGTGACCCGACGAATTTACGACTCGAAGACCGATTTGCAAGGCTGTAAAAATTTACTAAAACGAGTAAGTATATAAGACCTATTCGGAGATATACTACCACTCAACAGTTTCGAGCAGCTTGCAATTTCGTGATAAAACCAGTCGATAAA